GTTCGTTCCAGAGGGTGGGAGCTCCCACCGAGAAGGCCCTCCCCCTGGAGGTCGCCAGCCGGCACTGTCTGGCTGACGGCACCCTGAGGAGACCCACTCTGTGGGAGCGTACCGGCCGATGGGAGGTAATCTGCGGCAGAAGGCGGTCTCGGAGATATCCAGGTCCGATGCCATGGAGCGCTTTGAAGATGATGACCAATACCTTGAAGCGCACCCGGAAGGCCACCGGCAACCAGTGCAGCTCGCGCAGCAGCGGTGTTACATGCATTTAATACTTAAATAAGAACAATAAAAGAGATACACAAAACTAGATTATGTTACCATGTTTCCCAAAAAATAAGATTGGATCTTACATATTTTTTTGACCAAAAGATCCATTAGGTCTTATTTTGGGGGGATATCTTACATTACAGCATGTGGTGAGTGCGCAGGGGCAGGGCATGGCCTGCACATGTGATGGCAGCCCAAGGCCAAAGTGCTGGTAGAGCACCAGAGGTCTCTGAAGCAAGTCAGTGTCCTGCCTGCAGTGCCCATGCCAGTTGCCCCTTCCCTGCCAGAGCCGAAATGCTGCTGTGTTTACCATAAGTGTCAATACCGGTAGATGCCGGCCTTCCCTCTGGAGGGCCTGGGCAGCTGCTAGAGAGCAAAGGGCCCATTTCAGTGCCTGGCAACATTAGGGGGTTTGCCCTTTCACGCCCCTTCTGAGCCAGATTGCTGGCTCTTTTGGCTACCTGACCCTCCTCGCAGCTCTGCCCACATAGCCACCAAAGTGGCAGGTGGAGTGCCAGAGCTGGCATCTGGGCGATAGTGGGTGCTTTCCAGCTCTGTCACATTTCTATGCCGCTGCAGAACTGGAGAACGTGCCCCACCCACCATCACCCAGATGCCCTCCCTTCCCAAAGCATGTCTATACTAACCTTCTTTCCAGCTCTGATGTGTTCCTCTGTCGTTTTCCTTCACCACCATGTGCAGTCCCACAAACAAAAGAAGTTTGTGTAACTAAAAATAAAAAGTTCAATCAATCAATTCCAACTTCTCATGGAAAAAGAACTTGAGAGGTTGGAATTGATTGATTGATTGAATTTTTTTTTTAGTCACACAAACTTCTTTTGTTTGTGGGACTGCACACAGCAGCAGAGGAACACAACAGAGGAATGCGTCAGAGCTGAAAAGAAGATTAGCAAAGAATTGCTTTGGGAAGGGAGGGCATCTGGGTGGTGGTGGGTGGGGCAAGCTCTCCAGCTCTGCAGCGGCAGAGAAATGCGATGGAGCTGGAAAGCTTTCCAGCTTCAGCGCTCCACCTGCCGCTTTGGTGGCTGTGTGGGCAGAGCTGCAAAGAGGGCTCAGAAGGGGAATGAAAGGGAAGAGGGTGGGTGGGCAGGTGAGCGGGGATCTGTCCCACCCCATCCCACTTGTTCTGTGGCCCCCAATGCATTCATCCATCATATTCCTCTGCCACTGTGTGAAGTCCCACAAATAAAGTTTGCCAAAGTGGATTCTGGGCTGCAATATGTGCTGCAATGGAAGTGGAGCAGCTGGTGCGAGGGAAGGAGTAGCTGGGAGAAGAAAGAGGATTGAGAAGCAGGGCCATCCTGGCCCACCAGGCACTGAAGCGCCGTTGAAAACAGCAGAGTTTGTGTGTGCGCCTGCTATACACTTGCCCCATGTCAGCCATGCTTTCCACACCTTGGATCAGCTGCAATGCACCATGGAAAGCATGGCTAATGTGAGGCAAGCATGTGTCAGGTAGGCATATGGACTCCATTGTTTTCGGTGGTGCTTCTCACTCGGCCACTTTTTCTCTTTCTTCTCCCTGATCCTCCTTCCCTCGCACTGGCTGCTCCACTCCCCATCTCTACATTGCAGCACACATTGCAGCTCGGGATCCACTTTGGCAGTGGCAGGGTTTGGGGATGGTGAATCCCCATTTGTGGTGTGTCCACCAACCAATTGCCATGCTGTGTCTCAGGAGGGCACCAAAAAAAGCAGAGTCCATGTGCACATCTGCCTCGCACTCACTCCATGTCCACCATATTCTCCACAGCACACTGCAGCTGATCTGAGATGGCGGGCAGGCATACCCCAAAAGAGTGGAGTCTGTGTGTGCACCTGCATTGCTCGCTTCAACCATGCTTTCCATGGTGCGCTGCAGCTGATCTGAAACAGCCAGCCAGACACTGAAGTGCCATCGAAAACAGCAGAGTCTGTATGCATGCCTGCCTTACCCTCATCAGGCATGCTCTCCATGGTGCTGTAGTTGATCCAAGGTGGCCCGCCAGGCACCAAAGCACCGCCGAAAACAGCAGAGTCTGTGTGCGCGCCTGCTATGCACACACCCGTCAGCCGTGCTCTCCACTTCTCAGATCAGCTGCAGCATGCCAGGGAGAGCATGGCTGACACGGGCAAGGCAGGCATGCACACA